CCCCCCTCCTTTGAAAACTCCTGGCTACGCCCCTGGTTACATTTTGCAGAAGTACATGAGTATTCAAAGTTTACAAGGTTAAATATCCTACGGTAGAATCTTGCGAGTCTGTTTTTTCAATCTCTTGCCTCCGAGATCGAGCGTGACATATATTCCTTTCTTGGATAAGATGAATCGATATTAGATACTAGTGTGGCATCCAAATAAAAGGAGACGGTAATTATGTTCCTGCGAGTAGCGAACCCTTCAATTTGTGTCCCGTTTACGGATACGAACTGTAATCTTTTTTAGTTATGTAACTCTTCCGTTTTTAGCACAAAGACACTAAGGAACTTTCCATGACTTTCTATTAAATTCGTTAGCGCGCTTTGTTTGATTTCTATTCCGTGACTAGCGAATATCCGCTCGAAGCTGGCTACACAAAGTACTGTTCATTTCTATTTCCCCTATGTCAAAGTGTAAGAACTAAATTCGCCTTCTATTAGGAAGTAGTTCATTTGCGAGGAGTCATTGTATCGAAACCATTTCGGAGCCGAACGGAGTTTAGGAGTTCTCTACCCCGGAGTCAAGATCCGATGTAAGTTACGCTTGTAATATTCCTCATTTTTATCATTTCTAGTTTCGTAGTCTTTCGGTGTTCTCCATATCCAACCTTCAAGTATCCGTTCTATAGTTTTTACCGACTGTGCTGTACAAAGACTGCCAGCTTAAGTGAATAAAGAGTTTGATGCTGCTACTTGTCTAAAGTGCAACAGTGTGGTTATACTGGCGAACTCCGGTGCACAACACCACGTGTCGGCGGCATCGGGAACGCGACAATTTGAAATGACGTATTTGTAAAACACTGTTTCTCACCTTCGTTGAGTTTGTTCATTTCGTTTAAGTTTGATGTTATCACACTTTTCAGCGTTGTGTTCCTTCCTAGTAAAACACAATAAGGTTAATTAAGAAGTTGCTAGTTTCGAGAGTGTGGTTAGTTATAACTGGAAATTAGGCTGCTGCTGTCAAAACATAAAAGACGTGAAACCGGACCTCACCACCCAAAATTGGACAAAGCTTTCAAGAAGGACGAAATCGGAGGGAAGAGTCCAAATGGGGCAAGCCCACCCGAAATAGGACAGAGGCGCTCAAAGTAGGACGGAGGCATCTGAAGCACCACACAAGAAAGAAGTCGCTCAACGACAAGCGAAGACGCCCAGAATCGGACGGAGACGTGTAAAAATGGGTGGAGTACGCACACACGTAGGCACGTACCCACGCATGCGCGCAAGTTAACACGCACGCACACACGAACGCACGTTGGTATGCACGCACGTACGTACGCATGCATGCACGTACGTATGCACGCACGTTAGCGCTAACCACGTACATACACATGTACGCACGCACGTTCGTGGGCACATACGTGCGCATATGTGCACATACTGTGTATGTGCCAGACTAAGTAGGGCCGGACGGGAAAATATTTGGCTCGAAGTCATGCGCTCTGTCCGCACCTCATGACCGAGAGCCAAATATTTTTCCGTCTGGCTCGACCAACGAAGCGGCCCAAGGGCAGTAGTGCCGGACGGCTTTTCTGGACCGGCTCATATCAACCCGTCCGGCCGTCACCACGTCAGTTTTCACCATAGTGTTTTATGGGATGGCGCGAGCGAGGCCGGACGGGTCGACTATTAATGATCCAATCCACTGATGACACTAAAAGGGAGTTCAGGTTTTTTGTATACACAAGTATGTAATGCTTCTCTGATAAAAGAGTGCCAAGATCGCGATCGATTTCAAAAACGGATGAATTTTCAGATATTTCATTTGTTATTTTATTTGTAGTCTGTTCGAGTCTAGTTTGACAGAGGTGGCATTCCCATCCCCAAAAAAAAACATATTTTCCTAGCTTTTTACATTTATACATGATTATTATTTGTACCTTTTTACATATTTGAATAAATGCACAAATTGTTTTTTGCTGCTTTACCCGTTAAGCAATATTTTGCAGAGCAGGATTTTCCAGCAAGGAAATAAATTATTACACATTTATCATTTGCCGCTTTACCCGTTAAGCAATTTTTCGCAGAGCAAGATTTGAAATGACCGTCACGGAGAGGCAATGTGAATGGTCACGCCGTAATCATTGTCAAGCATCAGTCACGGGTCACGCGGTCCACTGCACGTCGTTGAGCAACATCTGAACCGGATGTAAGGATCGGATTTTACAGACTTTTTGCTTTCTTTAATTTAATCACTTTCCCCGTCACCGCTCTCCTCTTGTGTATCCGCTAGATAAAAAAACGAAAATTAAACATTTAGAGTTTATATAAAGCGGAAAATGATACGAGAATTCAAAATTATCAGATCACATGCGAAACACGGGAGCTTCATGACATGTCTCCGGAGACATAACTAGCTTCAATCTGCATACCAAATTTGGTACTGCTCATGATTTCTCAAAATAGTGTTAGTAAGCTACTTAACACCGAAGTGAACAGTTCCCGTGAGTTTTGGGTAGAATTTCAAAACACACACCTTAAATTAGGCGGAAGAAACTTTATGTTTTTGGCAACGACAATAACACACTCCAACTAATTACACTAAAAATATTCGCCCTCCAATTTTTTTGCCAAAAAAATTCTGACTCGATTCCAGGAATATAATTGTGAAAAATGTTGTCAAAATTTTTCTTAGCAAACCTTTGTTTAGCTATGAGCATAGACAAACCACACAATTCCTGTTGCTAAGGGTAAAGAGTAAAAGTTAAAACGATGTCAATTTTAAGACTTTTTTATACCTTTGTTTCGGGGAATATGAAAATAATCAGGAGGTTGAAATGGCGTTGGTCCGGTACACAAACAAGCGATGGAAAACGCAATCGCTTGCAATCGCTGCGTGTCTGTTTTTTTGGACAGAAGTTCTTCTACTCTTGGGTCCAAGAAACTTTCCATTTTTTTTTTTCCTGTGGTCGCTGTTCTTTTGATGTTCGGTGATTCCGGATGAAGTTCTTGACTGTCTCGCTACCCAGATGATTTGTAGTGTTTGAATGCTATCCACGTAAACTATCGATATTTATAAGCCCCCAGGTTTGACTTGGCTACTAAAAAAGGCATTTTGTCACCCGCCAAAGCGGTTCGAACTTACCGGAAGTCAACTCCTTTATTCTGGAGAGGACTAAACGTGGGATTCGCTCCAATTAACGTTCATTCTCTTCTGTTGCGTAAAATCCCGCACTCCTAACATCCCACCTGCAGGAATTTCTTTTTGTGGTAATGATAATGTATGGCTCTCTGTTAACCTTGACCTTGTACACCGTGACCAAAAAAGACGCTTTAAATTCAAAATAATACAAAAAACTTCGAAAGGTATACATTTACAGAAAATTTTAAATTTTGGATTTCAAGAGTTTCAAACACTAGTCACTTGAAATAATATTTTAGTATTTCAAATTTTACGTGGGCACACCGATCTAAAATATCCATCGCTCACGCAAGTTATTTCCATGTTACAGGTCATGCATGAGTAAAATACATGTTTACAATCTCAGAGAAATTTTCGTGTCTTTCGCCGTTTAGCCGAATAAATTAAAAAAAAAAATCTTACTTCCATAGATCAAGAAGTCAAAATATTTGAATTATATTCGTCAAATTTGGTTTCATCGCTCGACTCATATCGTGCCCTTTTTAGGCCATAGAGCGAACCAGCATTAAAAAATGATTTTGTACTTAACGAAAGAGCAACATTTCGAGGAAGTTTATGACTTGCCAAAAAAGGGTTTTTCCCGTTAATCTTAGTCACACAGTTGTCAGGTAACCACAGGATCAAAACTTTGATTTCCTATTCAGTGTGGGTGGGGGAGTTGTGAGAAGAACGTACCGGCAAAAATGATAGAAATTCTTTCAGTGTTTTCCCTGGGATGCAATCCACTTTTCTACAGAATCTGGCGTCGAATAATGCATTCCGAGAAAACTTCATCCAAAATTCGAAATATTTTTGAAAGTGTTATGGTTTTAGAATCACAAAACAAACATTTTTCAGCTGTGACTTTATTCCAATTTCTCTTTTTTGTGTTTTTCTTAACGAAAAAGAAAAGAAAGATATCTATCCTTGACCTATATTTAATCTTGTGCTTGATTTCCTTTGTTTCTGCTAAACGTTTGTTTACTTTGTGAGGGGAAAGCATCAACGAAACCAAAAACTTCTTTTCATAGTGGCCACGTAATGTCACGCTGATAAGGTCTAGAAAATTCGAAATTTTCCCACCAAGACGCCCACTTGAAACGTCATTTACCTCGTTCTGATTGGAAAAAAGTTTGAAAGCGAGGTTAAAGGCCAGCAAACAAACAGCGGAAATCATACGAATCCGGATGCGCAGGAATTTTCAATATGGTGGATGTGATGGAACTAATTGTCATTCAAGCTCGATGTAAATTTTGACGTTATTAGTCGCCTGATGTTGCTGCTAGACCGAATTTTAAAAGTGCCAGAAAGACCTGAAATTGTCATGGTGATCTTAGATGACAAAATACGATTGAAGCCTTGAAATATCGGCTTGTCGAAGAGAGCGATTTTCGCTTGATGCAACTAAATTATGGGGGTAAAAGGGCTTTGGAAACTTTTAGAATCTGTTGGACGGCCTGTAACTCTGGAGTCGCTAGAGAACAAGGTACTCGGAGTTGGTATCCTTTTAAGCCTTATTTAGTTGTTTACGTTATTTTGATTAATCAGCTGGCAAGATCTTTTGTTTTGCTACTTTAAGTGTCGAATTTATGTCAACCCACTAGCGAACCAACAAGTGATTAACATGTAACTTCTCCCTTCAAAATCCATACATTATCCAACAAACAAGTAATGAGAGTACTCTGACTTATCACGTCGAAGTTGTCATCGTGATCCAACATAAAGTTCTTGTCACTTATTTACAAGGAAATGTGTACCAACTTGAGGGGAGTATTGACGATCAGATCGTGGGATTGAAAGAGTAAATTTCTTGGCTCTAGTTCAAGAAATTCTTTATTTCATATTTTGTTTTGTTTTTTTTTTCTGTTCTTTGTTTTTTGGCTATGCTTTTTGTTTGTTTGTTTGTTTTTTCACCCTGGCATTGGACTTTTGTATAGTCTGTAGGAACTGGTGAGCACTTATTGCTTTTAATTTATAATAATAATAATAATAATAATGATGATAATAATAATAATTTTACCAATTTCTATAGCACATTTACCATGTGATGATCTAATGCGCTTTACAACACTGTGTGGGAGACTTTTCCAGACTGCCTGTGATAGTTTACAATCAACAAAGGAGAAATTTTTACAGATGCCCCCTCTCCCCAATTCCCAGTAAACAGGCCAGACCACCTCACAGTAATCTCGTGATGAGGTTTCTTTAATGTCCCCTGCCTAACCAAATTAACTAATGCAAGATGCAAGAGACAGGACCTTGGGCTTTACGTTTTATCTGAGAAGACGAAGCAATGTAAGTGAAGTGTCTTGCTCAAGGACACAAAGTCAAACCCCAGCCAGGACTTGAACCTGGGTCATCTGACCCAAAAACCAGCGCACTGACCACTGGACTACTCACGCCTCACACCTCACGCCTCACACCTCATGCCTCACACCTCACGCCTCACACCTTTTAAGTGCTAAAAGTGACCAGCATCTACTTCCTCCTTACAGTATTGCTTTTGAATCATTCCTTAAGATCATTAGAATGTGATCGCCAACTTGAGAAGCTTTGATTGTTGAATAAATTTTCCAAGTCTGTACCAAATGAAATGTAGAGAGGAGAGTATGGGGAACATTGATAGCAGGGCTCTCACATGCACTTTGCGCTCGTGGAGCAGAGCCCCATACCCATGGAATATGGTCAACCTCTTTTCGTTTGGTTGTCATGTGACTGACCGAGCATAAGTGCATACGTACGTGCCTTCAGATTGCACGGGTAGGGTAGGGGAGACTATTGGAAATTGAAAACCACGAGCCAAAACTGAATTTCTACTAGTCTGTGGCTAGTTGGGTAGGACTCGTTAGTCTGTAGCTAGTTGGCTAGGACTCGTTAGTCTGTTGCTAGTTGGCTAGGACTCATTAGTCTGTGGCTAGTGGGCTAGGACTCATTAATGTAGAGCCCTGTGATAGACAGTAATCTCTCAGTACTACGACATGTAGTGATTTCTAATGAGTTACAATCTAAAAATACCTTAACATGAGAATAATCAGATGCCAGTGTGATCTTGAATCAGTCTGTGAAAGGGATGCGAGACAAGCAGGGAAATCCAGTTCCCAATGCACATCTTGTTGGCTTGTTCAGTAGATTATGTAAACTGTTGTATTACAGGATTAAACCAGTTTTTGTATTTGATGGTGGAGTGCCTCATCTCAAGAAAAAGACACTGGTAAGGTATCACCAACTTCTCTCCCTTTTCTTTCCACCACTCTCAGGCAAACAACAGTGTTCCTTGCTATTTCCCTGTCAGTGTCATTTAATTTCCTATACTGAAATTTCATATTCTATCCATTGAGCAAACCGCCTCCCAGTTAGCTCAATGGATAGAGCGCTGGACTGTTCTGCGGGAGGTCAAGGGTTGGAGCCCCGGCCGGACCAACACTCAGGGTCTCAAAATAATTGAGAAGAATTGGCTGCCTTTCTATAACATCAAGAAATGGTTCGATATTCTAGTCTTCTCGGATAGAGACGAATAAATGGAGGTCCCGTCTCCTGCAGGGTTGAGATAGGAGACGTTAATTTCCCACACACGAGATTACTGTGTGATGGATGTCCTCCCCTGGGTTGGGATGGGTGGATTTATTGGGTCTGCAGTAATTGGTGCAAGCTGTTGCGGTGTCCCTGCCGGTTGGCGAAGCAATTGAATTAAATTAAACTATGTAACTCTGAAATTGATCAAAAATCATTTTTTTAGCTTTATTTGGTATCAGTTTCTTAAGAGCACACTTCTTGGTAAGGGCCAGCAATAGCGAAACCTTGTAAGAGTTTCATCAGTTGGCCTCATTACTTGCTAATGTTACCTGTTTATGTCTTTTAACACCAGGCAGCAAGAAAGGAACAAAGATTTAAAGCTGTTCATAAGTCAAAAAGAGCTGCAGAAAAGATTATGAAAAATTATCTGAAAACTAGAGCTCTTGAAACTGTCACAAAGAGGAAAAGGTACTTTACACTCTATTCAGTTGGTAGTTAAAGATATTTTGATTTATTGAGTTTATAATGTGGGCGAGGCAGTTGTCTAATGGTCAGTACACTGGATTCCTGGACAAAAGTTATGAGTGTAAGACAGGGCCAAGCCAATTTGTTGTGTTCTTGGGCAAAACACTCTACTCTCCCTGACAGTGCCTCCCCCCCTGGAGTAGACAGGGGTACTAGCTGACTGTCAGGGAAGCCTGATGAAATGCAGGGGGGGTGGGGTAACCTCACAATGGGCTAGCGTTACATCCAGGGGTGATGGAGGGAGTATTACTCCTAGTTGTTCTAGCTGGGTGCCCAGAAGGCTTCAGTTCAGACTTTGCCTTTGCCTTCTGCCTTCCACTGAGTTTATAATGAAGAGAAATGTTAGCTTTTATCTGTAGGGGAGAGATGAATTTCTTTACTTTCCAAAAAAACTTATCAAGTGTTGTTTTGATTACCAATTGAACTGCTTGGTAATTGAGCAAGTGATTTCTCAACAATCAGGACATCAGCTTTTTAATTCTTCTCCTTATCAGGGGGGGTTAGTGATACTCCTTGTCACTTCATTCTAAGGAGGCTAACTGAGTACACACTTTGCCTTTGCCTTCTGCTTTCTGAGTTTATAATGAAGAGAAATGTTAGCTTATATCAGTTCTGTATCAAGGGAGAGATGATTTGCATACCTTCCTTAAGTTATCAAGTGTGGTTTTTATTACCAAATAAAACGGTTTGGTAATCAAGCAAGTGATTTCTGGACATCAGCTTTTTAATTCTTCTCCTTAACAGTTTATTTTCCAACAGTTTGGAGACATTTTTTAGTTGTGGTAATGTATCTTTTTTTTCAGTTCTGCTATCCCTGAAAGAAGTAGGAGTCCAAGAGAACCTGATGTGTTTGAACTTCCTCCTCTACCATCCCGTGCCATAACAGACGCTAAAAGGTAGGCAAAGATCTGAAAGTGAATTCTCCCAATGATGATTATGCATTTTCTTTTGAGCTATTTGTGAGAATTTAATGTTAAACAGTTGTATCAATGCACTGTCCTTTAGGTGATGTTCTATCAGTGTTCATTAGCTGACCCCTCTTTAGTATGTTAACATTGTCAGGGAAATTAGAGGTTGATTACTTTGGGAGTACCCTGAGAAAAACTCGAGGATTCCTTTGAACCCGGTTATGTTAGAGTTGTGGCTGTTTTTAATGTTTCTAAGTTTGCCAAGATATTTTTGAAGGCCTATGCAAACATGCAGACAAGCTCTTAGCCTGATTCATATGTTTGGTAATATTTTATATTTTTAACATCCATGTTAGCTGTGGTTGTGGAACAATGCAAAGAAATTATTATTATAATGTGAAAAGGCAAGCAGCAACTTTCAAAAAATACTTTTGCACTGATAGCGCCGTGTATTGTAACATTAAACCAAAGTAAAGCACGCACTCTGATTGGTCAATTTAGTGTCCACTATTTAACAAATCGTAAACACCATAGCATACACTATTGAGTTATGGATGCACATGGGAGGTTGCTAAGCATGAAAGAAGCGTAAGAGTTGCTCGAGGCAATAGCCAAGAGCGACTCTAGCTTTTTAAGTGCTTAGCAAACCTCCCAAGTGCATCCATAACTCAATAGTGTACGCTTTGGTGTTTACCATTTGTTTTATAACATAACATTGATACATTGTAGCTAAAGAGTTCCCTTTTATTTAACAAATCTTACGTGACCAGAAAAAACAAGGGCGCGTGGAAAAATAGTCTTTGCATTTGCTCACGTCAGCAGCGTACACCCATGGGCAAATGGGGATGCTAAAGTGACCAATCAGAGCACGCGCTTTACTTTGGTTATGTTATAATTGCCCATGGGTGTACACTGCTGATATGAGCAATTGCAAAGATTAGTTTCCACATGCTTCTTTTTGCTGGTCATGTAGGATTTCAGTGTTTGTTGGAGGGGACTTTTTTTTGCTACAATGTATCAATGTTATGACAGTATGTTATAAAACATGGCAAAAACCACAGTGTACACTATTGAGTTATGGATGCACTTGGGAGGTTTGCTAAGCACTCAACTTGCACTACTCTTATGCTTCTTTCATGCTTAGCAACCTCTTGCATGCATCCATAACTCAATAGTGTATGCTGTGGTGTTTACCATTTGTTCATTTTGGTTCTGATTTCATCCCTAGTTCATCAGAAGATGAAGACATGGACGTTCCTATCTTAGAACAGTTCCAAAGGCAGCAGTTGGAGGTATATTCCTTTAGTCGGACCAAAATTCAAATTTTCTGATTAATTTGAAATCATAAAAAAGTTTGTGAAACGTAATAATTGTATTATTCTTTCTGTCAGGAAACTTTTCAGGCTCCTAATGCAATCGATATTGATTCAGAAGACTTCAAAGCTTTGCCTCCAGAGATACAACATGAACTCATCAAGGATATAAAAGCTGAGAGAATATGGATGAGCAAGAACACTCTTCCCAGGGTAAGGGAAGGCATGTTTTGAATCTTTCTTATTGGTTAAGATAAATGCAGTTTTCAGGTAATTCAGTGCAGAAGAGAGTAAATTCAGTGCAGAAGAGGGTTAATTCAGTGCAAAGAAAGTAACAAACCAGACATTCTGATTGGTCAGAATGATTGGTCAATGTCAAGGTCAATGTCAAGGTCAATGTCAAGGTCAATGTCAAGGTCAATGTCAAGGTCAATGTCACTTGCAGAGTTTGAATCAATTATTTTTGCACGTAATGCATGTGCTTTTCTTCTGCACAATTAAGATAAGCTACCTTGTATTTTTTCACATATATTATTAATACATAATCACATGATTTTTCTCATGCAATTTGGAATAAATAAGCACTTGTAAATTTTTTCAAAGACCACAAATTGCACTCGCCCTACGGGCTCATGCAATTTTGTTAGTCTTTAAAAAAATTTACTCATGCTTTTTTATTCCAAATTGCACTTGAAATCATGTGATTGCCTATACATGTCAAATACTGTTGAAAATTTGTGTGTCGTGAGACTTTGCCTTGTGAGGATGAAATCCATTTTCAACTTTGAACCCCTAATAGGGACTAGCATCTAAATATCACCCCTGAATCACACATTAAGGTCAGGAGAATAAAGGAAATGATCAACAACTAAAAGAGCTCTTGATTGTTGAACAAATTTTGCTTGTCAGTACCAAAGGAAATGTGTGGAATATAGGTAGAATGGAGAATATGCATATTGATGTTACAGTGTAGAAGGGTCATTTATGATCAACTAGTACTTTGCACAGCCATGCACGGTTCTATTTTCCACTTGAAGAATGAGCCAAACGACAGTTCTGTGATAATGGTGATAATACTGACAAAGGCATCTATGATTTGGAATGCAGTGATGGCTGCAATCATAGCGACATTGATCGTGGTAGATCAGAGGGTATGAACCAGATGGCTGGATTTTCTCCAATAGGCCCGTCATACAGTTCCTTTTAAATTAGACTAGAAAATTTGGTGTTATAACTACATAACAGCCTCTTGCTGATTAGCCTCCTACGCAGACGTTCTTTGGGCTCGTCACGCAATCTTCCTCCCCCACGAACGCTGATAGGCTTTTCTATTCCCCTTACCTGTTTGCAAGATAAAATGTTAGAAGTGTTAGGAGAAGTTACAAGTTAATCACTTCTGCAGATGAAAGGGTTCATACAATTACTTGTTTGACACGAAAATTCAGCCAAGACAGGACTGCATTTTACCTTTCAATATATAGCGTTCAAACTGTACTTGTGTTGAATTTTTTTAGCTTATCTAGGCTAATTTGTAAACGAAAATTTCTGAGTTGCAGCAAGCAACAGACTTTTCAAGTTTTCAACTGGAAAGAGTCTTAAAACGAGGTAAAATGAATCAGCGACTAGAGGACCTCCGTAAAGAAATGAACCAAAGAAACTCAGGGGAACTAGCGGGGATGGTATCTGATGAAACTGTTGGGGAGGAGAGCGCCGTTAAATCACAAAAGATTTTATCAGAAGACGCGGCACACTACATTCTGATAAAGCGAAATGAACAAGAGCAAAAGCAAACGACAGATTTCTCAGATGAGGGTGGTTTCTTTCGGGAAGACCAGGAAGGTGAAATAGTGAGCTGGACTGACCCTCGCCCGAACCCAGTCTCCCCTCGAAAAATTCCAAGCTTTGAAATTGCTGATCTTTGTTCCAGCGATTCTGAGATTTTGTCGCCATTTCTGGATGTTCCAGAAGCGGATCTTTCGCCCTCAAGCTGTCAAGCGCAGAGTGGTGCTTTTAGTTTCTCCTTAATAAAAATCAAAGGTAGAATTGAGAACGATGAGGCAAACCTGGGTGAAAATGTCACGAAGAAAATTGAAGCTCTAATACAAAAAAGCCAGACATTCGACAATCTCTTACCAGGAAGTGGAGACGCAAAAAGCGTCTATAAAAGTTCTAAAATAGACAATCTCCATGACTTAAGCGATCACGAAGCTAAATTGGTGATCTCTGAAGAGGATTCGGACGAAGATAACAAGCTACTTACTCAGATTAAAGACAAGAAAAAAGAGCTGGAAGATTTATTGAGCAAATGGAAAGCCTCAAAACGTCAGAAAGCGGCTGCTGATGTAATTGTCTCCTCGAGCGATGACCTTAATGTAGCTGAAATAAATGAGAAAGAACTGGCTCAACGCTCTCCAGAATCTGTCGAAGTTTTTAACATCTCAGAAAGACAGCCAGAGTGGTCCGTTTTTGAAGAGACAGCAAACACTCCTTCGACTTTAATCATTGATGACCAAACAGAGAGCAAAAGAAAAGTTGTCGATAATTTGCTTGTTTCTGATGGTGGATCGGAATCGGAAACAAATTCAGTAGAAGAGGTGAGGGTCGTAAAACCCGAAGAAGGTTCTCTAGAGAATTTAACTATATCTTCTTCTGATACCGTACAAGAAACTAAGATTACAGATTCTACTTTTAATATTGCTGAGGAAGAAAAGAGAACAGAAATTCAAAGTACACCCTTCCTTAATGGCGATGCCACTTCTCAAGTGGTCGAGGACGGAAAAAGTCCCACTTCTCCAGATGTTCAGCACGAAGTTCAAGATACTGCCCCTGTGGCGAAACAAGATCCTAATAACAGAGACGCTCAAGTTGAAGAAAAACAAGATTCTGTCGAGAAGAATGAAGTTCAAATGGATGTTGGTGAACCTGTGGCAGGGCCATCTGGTCTACCTGTGGAATGGCAAGGTGCCACTGTGGTAAGAAAAGGAAAATTATACTAAACCTGGTTTTCAGGGGGGAAGTAGTGGGGGATCGGTTGTCGCCAACAAAGTATAAATAAAGGAAGGACTATCGAAAATTGACGGCCAGTTAACTGCCAATGATGAGGGGTGGTGGGGGTCACATGTAACTTTTATTGTGACGCAACCAAAATCCTTCAACCCTCCCTTCCCTCCCCTCCCACGCCATAAAGAATGACCGTTCCCCTGGGACGATCAAATTTTGAGGTATGCTCAAGGGAATGTTTATTTTTTGTATACTTTTAATCAAAGACCGAGCTCAATTTGTACCATCTCTCCTACTATATTCCTCTTAATTTTGGTTTCCAGGAAGAGCTGGAAGACATTCGGTTGGATATCGAAGCAGAACAGAAATCTTTAGCATCGGAACAAGCTCGACAGAACCGCATCGCGGCCTCCGTGTCCAACGAAATGTTCGCAGAATGTCAAGTAAGGATTGACTCATTCATGCTGGTATCTACAACCATGGCTTGACGATCAAACATGTTTGTTTAACATCCTATTTTTCGCAAAGTATTGGATGAAATGATTGATTTAGATCGAACCTGGGAAGCCTTTTACCTGCAATGTGGAGAGAGGCGCTGAACAGTCAAAAATGCTCTTCCATCAAGTTTTTATACGAAAATATTTTGATCGTCTAAGCCTGGGTAGTACTGGATTAAGCGAGAGTTCCCGGTAACCTTGTGACGGGTGCACTTTGGATGGAGAGATCTGGGTTCGAGTCCAG